CTATAAGGTGCTATGATTTTGGCCGCCACTGTGCTTACACACGAACTTTATATCAACGCGTGTGTGCATAAGTTGGTATGTAAAAAAAAGTTCTAGGGCAGGTTATAGTTTTTACTCTTATTACTTTTTTTTTTTTTTTGCAAAAACCTCTAAAGTGAACATTAGATAATGAGCGGTGGAGAGGCCGGGAAAGAGATAGGGATACCAAAGAGAAAGAGAGAGAGAGAGAAAGAAAGAGAGAGCTCGACTGATAAATCTAATGTTTGTCATGTGAAGCGAACCGCTTTTCAGGGCCTTGCAATTTTTATGCACTTATGACATGAGATTGCTTTGCACACACTCATAAAAGCTTTTCGACTCCCTCTGCCCACTCTCTCCCCGCCCTCTCTCTCTCTCTCGCTCTCTTCTTAGGGGGTGGCGGAGGGGGGTGGGTGCATGCGCACCATTCAAGAAATGCATTGCACTTGTCGCCCAACACGCGCACTAATACACACGCAAAAACACATTTTCAGCCCACAGACTTACATAAACTTTTCCATAGAAAAAAACAAAAACAACAACAACAATAAAAAATAATGTATAAACCTTCCAAATGACGTCAATCGCTCTGTAAATTGTGGCTTTTGTTAACTGGTTGCTGTTGTTATTGTTGGTTTTTATTGTTGTTGTTGCTTTTCCATGCCAAAAACAGAAGTTTTTCGGCTTTTCGAGTGGGTTGTGTGTATGTGTGTTTGCTCATCGGCATTTTTGGGAACCCAGTTTGTGGATCATCGACTGTGAAATCAGCGCTATTTATGAATTTTCGCTCCATCGATCTATCCACAGCTCCCATTTTCCCCAACCAAATGTTGCAAAACTCTAAAAATGAATAATATTTAAAATCTTACGTTGATTTTTAGAACCTGCTTTGGTACCTGTAACTCAAAATACTATTAATTATAATATAGTTTTTTAATAACTTAAGGTTTCCGCAATATGTTAAGATATAAAAGTATCATACATTTATTATTTAACGTTTGGTTTGTGGATCATCGACGGCTCCATTGATCGATCCCCATTTCCCATTTTACCCAATAAAATGTTCCAAAACTCTACAAATAAATAGTATTTAAAACCTAACTTTGATATTTAGTAGAACTAGTTTCATTTTATTTACCCTTATTATAATAATTCTTATAATATAAATTCTCAATAAATATTTAAAAAACTTAACTTAAAGTTCCCCTTAATATCTAAAGATATGAAAATAACTTAAGTTATTTAACGTTAACATTTTTGGAAACCCAGTTTGTTGGTCATCGGCTGTGAAATCAGCGCTATTTATGTATGTTCTATCCATCGATCTTTCCCCAGCTCCTAATTTCCCCCAGTCAAATGTTGCGAAACTCTAGAAATGCATCTATACTATTAAAATACTAATACTGATTTTTGGAATTAGTGTATAATAATGAAATGTATTACATTATACTTACCTGTGCTATGATATCTGTAACTCAAAGTCTCTTGAAAATAAAATTTATTCTATTATAATTCCTTAAAAAATGCAAAATTAACTTTATTTATAGCTTAATTTATCCTAGTTTTATGTTGAGGAACTGTAGATACAAAACCCTTGTAATAATTACTTTGTTTTTTGGAACTAGTGATAGCATTTTATTAACCTTTACTATTGTATCTTAACTAATTATAATTAGCTCAATAAAAAATTTTACAAAATAGGATGCTGTATTTTTGATTAAAAATAATTCATTTTAAATATTTTTAACTTTAGATAAAGCAGTTATTATATTTAGTTAGTACATCAAGTGTACTACATTCCAGATTTATTATTCACATATGTTTGCAGATTGTACATACCTAAAAATAATTTACAAAATCCAAGGAACCCTTATAAATATTTAATTTTTCGAAATATACTAGTATATGTTTTTTTGGGTTTTGGTTTTCGATATTTATAAAGATTTCCCTGGTTGGATTTAGAACTGCTGGCGCCACCTGTGGGCCGCACTTGGCTTTTTTCGAAAAGCGGAGCAGAAGGGCAGAAAAGTAGAAAAGCTGACCTTAATATGCATTAATTGTTGCAGCTCACTCTCATTTTCCTGGCTCTCCCATGTCTCTCTATATCTCTCTCTCTTGCCCCCCTTTTCTCTTCTGCCTAATTGTTCTCTTCCCTCCCTACGCCCCCCTTCCTCTTCCTCGCCCCATCCCTTTCCATTTTCCATTTACGTGCTTTATGCTTTTTTTGGAGCAGCGCGCTGCTTCCATTTCCATTTCGATCCCAATTGTTGTTGTTGTTTTTGTTGGTGTGGGGGATCTTTTGTTTTGTTTGTTTGTCCTTCTCATTTTATGTGAGTGTGCATGTGTGTGTTTTAGAGATGGTAGAGGAAAGTCCAATTGGAATTGGGGGGACTGTTAAATCAATAACGATTAACTTGGGTTTTAGTTTTGTGAAGAGCATTTTTACTCTTTATAAGGACTCTGTATTCAAGCAAAAAAAAGAAGCTTTTAATGATTTCTTTATTTTGGTTGAAAGTTTGTTGGATTTCTTAAATATTTATAATTGATTCTTATAAGTTCACACCCAATTTCCGTTTTTCCAAAATCAAAAAAAAGTAAATAAAGTTAAAATGGGGCTTACCTAATTATTTTGAAATTTTTTGGGTTAATACAATCTTAAACGTAAGAAAAAGGTTAAAAAGAGCTATACATTAGTTGGTTTCTTCTTAAAAAAACCCATCGATCTTCAAAATATATATATTTTGAAATATACATATATCTTAAAACTTTATAAAAATATTTAAGTGATCTTAAAGTCTAACCCATCGATCTTCAAAATATATATATTTTTATAATGGTTCAACATTGTTATGGTAAAGATGCCAAAACTTGTTTATGCTTTTTAAAGTTTTTAAACTACATATCTTTAAATTCTGGACTCTGTAATAAGATCTTGAGTTGTTCTATAGCTCTACCTTTTTTTCATAAATATGTATAGCTATATTTCACAGATATGATTGGGGTTCATATAACCTATTTAAATGATTTAACCTCGTGACACGATAAAGTTCCGCCCGCCACTCAATCCGTAGTGCATGTACCCAAATAAATACTTGTGCACACGATATATGTTTATGTGGCTGACGTGTGGGGTTATTTGAATGGAGTATAGGGTGCGTTTGTGGGTTTTCCAAGGGGGAAATGTGCGCCTATAATTATAAGGTACACTGATAAAAGATAACCGTGGAAAATCCAAAGATTTCATATCCCATTTCTTTATTTTTAGCTGTTTTTAGTAGTTTTAATTGATTAAAATAGTTAATATTTAAGATTTTAAACTTTGATTTTAATAAGAAATTCTATTTTTGATGTCTTTAAATGTTTTATATGTAATATAAAGACTATCATCGTATCTAAAATTTTCTACCTTGATTCCAAAGTTGTTTGGAATATTTGTTACGTTTTTTTTCAGTGTATCTATACATGTGCATAGCATAGCAAGAGGTGTATTTTTCGGTGGGTAAATACATAGGCGAACACACACGGCAATTACTGGAACGACCTCGCTGGATTTCCACTTCCAACCCCACTTTTGTAACCCCACATTCGATCGATTTTTCCGCGCTGGAAAGTTGGAAAACCAGGGCAATTAATTTCCGACTTGATCATGCTACAATTATGTTATTTTTTTTTTGTTTATTTTTTTTTTGCTATTCTATTGCTATTGTGGAGCTAGAACATGCAATTATTTTAATGTATTCGACCTTGGGACTCATGAATGTCAATTGGCACGTAAGTTCTCCATTAGCTATTAGCTTTTACCCGCGGCTCCACGCATCCAAAATGCAAATCCCCGTATACACTTTATATATATATGTTTATATTTCTGCGCTGCAAATCAGTCGTTTTGTATGCTAGCTTCGTTTTTTATGGTTTTTTATGGGGCTAGGCGACTCCCACCCACTCGCACATATTTATACAAATTGAGGCAGCGGAAAAAGTGCAACTCATTTGAATGGCTTCGCCTTCATTATGCAAATTTCGCAGCGTAGTTCGTGGCGAATATTTATTTGCTTATTATAAATACATAAAGATTTTCGGCATTTTAGCAATCATGACTTGCAAGCACACGAGCATTAAACGGGTTTCTAATTTTATTTGGAAATGTAATGTAATGATCGAGTTTCAATGGGCAAGTGAATTCAAATTTGCAAAAATTTGCCGCCAAAATATCGATAGACGTTTAGATGACTATCGGTAGTGACATAGCAGCTAGCTTTTGCTTGAAGAGTTGTCTAACTAGGTGGCAACTCTGGCAAATATTTTTTTTAAACGCCTTTAAAATAGTTATTATTTATAGTAGAGATTATACATTTTACAATTAATATTGTTTATCTATATAATATACAATAAAAATACAAATAATTTTAGTGGAATAATTATATGTTATAGGTTTCAAAACTATAAAGTTATATTCAGAACAGTAAGTAAAAAATATTTTTTATTTTTAGTTAAGTGATCCATAGATTAGGCATTTATTTTTTAACTATTTATTTTTGATACACTGTGTAGTCAAAAGTATTTCATTTTCAAATTTTTTCTTTGTCTTTAACATAAAAATAAAAGTTACGGTTCCTGATTATAATATTGCTAATTTCAACATCTAATAATTTTATGCTTATCTTTTTACAATTTTTAAATTGCGATTGTTTTCGCGCCCAAAGCAAAGTCCACAGCGAAAAAAATCAATATATGGAATGGCAGCAGTGCGAGCGGGACAACTAGCTAGTGTAAGTGGCTAGGCAAAGAACAGCCGATAAGAGGATGCCACCTAGTTGTAGACTTTAGAGAAATAAGAAGAAATACAACGATTTTGCCACGAAGGAAAATAAACAAAGAATATAAACAAGTTGTTGATCAAATAATAAAGCAATTCTAATAACAAAACAAGTAACTTGACAACATTAAACACCTTTTGCTACCTTTGAGCACCTTCCGGCGATCCGGCAGCGCCACACGAAAATGGCGAACACGAGCACTGCGATGAACGACGAGCTGAAAAAATAATTATTATTTTAAATTCCGTTTTGCCAGCGAAATTCGGTGCGTGCGCGAAAAAGAGTGCGGAAAAGCGCGGTTGGGAATTTAGCAAGCCGATTTATTGACGCATTATGAGGCGGTCAAAGTGCGGCGCCAATGGAAATGGTCAGCCAAATGGTTAAAAATATGTAGCGACAGCAGCGTGCCAGCCCCTAGAAAATCAAATAGAATCCAAAATTCTTTAGTTTTCTGCCTTGCGAATTATGAAAAACCAATCGCAATGCGTGTGTGTGTGTGTACGTGCGGTGCGTGCGCGCGTGTGTGCGTGAGCGAGCGTAGAAGCAAAAGGCGCAGTGGAAAATAAAAATAAAAGCGAACCAAAATTTAACAAAAAAAAAAAAAAAACGGAAAAAGAGGTGAACAAGCAAAAAAGAGAAGAAAAAAACAAGAGAAGCAGCAGCAAAAACAACACAAAACTGGCGGTAAATACGCATGCAGTACAAAAAAAAAGAAGCAACAACAACAACAAAACGCAACGTAACGGGAACTCTTTGACGTATTTCCTCTATTATTATGCAAAAAGGCAGGCGGCAAATTGCAGCAGCAGCGAAAATTAAATATAAATAGCGAAAAGGTAAAGAGACAGAGCAGCCCCACAAAACTAAACTAAAAATAAGAGGCGAACATATTTGTTGTTTGCAGAGTGCAATAAAAAAAAGAAGATTGGTGGGGGGGGGGGGGTAAAACTGCAAACCTTTCAATTGGTTTCAATTGGCAAATGCAATTGTTCAGCATTACATTTGCATTACATCCCGCTCCCTCTCCCTCTCTCTTACACACTCGCTCTCTCACTCTCCGCTCGACTGTCCCTTTCCCGCTCTTCGCTCCGTTTGCTTTGCAAAGTTTTGCGACGAACAAGAACAATAATAATCAAAACAAAAATGTTTAAAATCCATTTTCTTTTCGCCTCTCCTTCACCCACTCACTCAATTCGCAGCGCGCTGTCATTTGTCTTGCGCCCTTGCCTCCCCCTTCTTCTTTTTCGTTGCTCCTCATCCCCCCTCGCTCTTCCCCGCAACTACAGCTGTCTCGCTCGCTCGCATGCACACCATGCAAAACCAAAGAAGAGACGCAACGAAAACGAAGTTGCCTTGCCTGTGGACAATGGGTCCAAAAGGGTTAAATAATTGACAAACTAAGTACAGTGGGCTGCACAAGAGAGAAAACTTTATATTTAAGAACTGTCCCTAAAAAAAAATTTTTCATTTACTGCCCTACGTAGCTTCCGCAATTGTAAAAAAAATTATTTTAAATACACTGTTTTATCGAATTACTACTAAACAAAAATGTGTTAGGATCAAAATAATGACCAATATTTTATATTAGATTAATTTTTAATTTATTTAAATCTAACAAAACCTTTAAATTGCTGTAACAGGTTCATGTTTTTTTTGTTTTCTTGTGTTCTTAAAATTATTAAATATGTTTTTTAACTCGGAAAGGTGCTTTTGAAAAGATTTGATTAAATTCATAAGATTGTTTTGTATGTTAATTCCATAATTTAACAATTTTTTTATCTAGATCAAGGTGGTTATAATAGGTTTAAATTTCAAAATGCCCTTGCAATTATAGTTTTTCAATTCAATCATTAAATTAATCGCAAAAATCACGTGTAAGCAACATTTTAATAATTGACAAATTTCCCTGACCATTTATTTCACTTTTTTTTTGTAAAGAAGTTTTGTCACGACATCTAGAACAGATCACCCATGTTAATCTGTTCTATGACTTTAAGATAGAAAATTTGGTATAATAATAAACTCTAAAATAGTGATTATTTCAGGTACCTGGTAATACTATTTGTAATGTATATATGATATAAATATTTTGAGTAAATTAAAAAATGGTTAAACTAATATTGTTTTCCCCTAAATAAAATATTACTTTGTATTATAGAACATTTAAATGGTGTAGAATCATAAAGTGCATAAAAGAAATATTAAAGAGCTAGGAAAAGTGATAAAGCCATTGCACAAACACATAAAAACTACGACTACGAACACAGATTATCCATTTGCCAAATAAACATGCACATGCAGAAGGGAAGAGAAAAGGGGGAAATGCAAAAGAACAGATCCCAAAAAAGGAAAAGGCGGCAAAACTGATGCATGTGTGTGCTAGAGAGAGATAGCAACAGGGGGGCGAACAATAGCAGAAAAAATAACATGGATTGGTCTAGTAAAGAAAGAAGAAGAATCGTAACAACGGGAACCAACCGCATAATGCGCGATTAATGATAAGCTTCTCTGGGAGCAATAAAAAAGAGAGGGAGAGAGCGGGAGAGGCGCCAGATTTGTGAGTGGGTGGCAACACCTATTCTTCCTCTTTCCCTTCACACCTTTTTTCTTGCCGCCGTTTTGTTTTGATTGCGATTTTTCTTCACAAAATTAAATGAAAATACAGTGGGCGTCAATATTAATCAAAATAAATGAGAGTAAAAATATTTTAATTCCAGAATTAAATTAATAATTCAAGATTTTCTAAAAATAACAATAAATGTAATACAAATAAAAATTTACATATTTGTATTAGACCAATCTACTTTTTTTAAATTTAAGAAAGTTTCTTGAAATGCGAAAAGTAAATGATTACTTATTTGGAAAATAAAGCATAGTCTTTTATAAAAACGAAGTTCCACTGTAGTTTTGACTTTGTAATAAAAAATCCCATGAAATTCTCCCTTATTGTTTGGCATAAAATTGTGGTTGCATTTTAACCTCCTCATTGAAAATTGCAAGCAAAAGTTGGTTTCACATCCCCCACCTCCTCCTCTTCCTCCTCTTCATCGCTGCATTGCCTCCCATTCTATTTGCACGGCAAGTTGCCTCTTCGAGCATCCTCATCCTTTCAGCATTCCTATTATTCTTTTTTTATACCTATTCTTTTTTTTTGACAATGCCCCCAACTAGCAAAAACAACTTGCAGGCACCAATACGTGCCATTGAAAACGAGAAAGGAAGTTTTATTCGAAAAGCAGAAGTTAGGATACCCTCTATGTTATAAAATAAGTGTATTAGTCATTTGGGGAGGTGGTTCGAATATAATTTTTAGGATAGGAGTTGGATTTTAATATAACTATATATATCTCGATTAAAATTTGAAACTATTGACAGTTTTTTTAAAAAAATATATATCCAATCCTCTCTATAAAAAAATCTTGTTAGTATCGAAGTTCGACCATTATTTAACTCTCTCTTAGAAAATAAAACTAATGTTATATTGCTAAACCTAATTAATAAGTTATTAAAAATATTTTACGGTTAGAAAACTCTTGTTACAAATTTCTCAACACAATATTATACCCTCTACAAGGGCATAAAGTTACACTAAAAACTGGTTTCAGTTTCAGTTTTCTTCCTTTGGGTCTGGCCCTGCATTTTACATGAAAATGTGCAAAACAAAACCATTCCAGCAGTGCTAAAAACCACGCGACATGACCAGCACTAAATAAAGTAAAAATAGTTGCCATTCGATGGGTTGTCGCGGGTTAAACTTTAGGTAGAGATAAATGATCTGGGAGACAAAATAAATGTAGTGAGCAAAATTATAGTAAGTGGGTACATAGTAATTTAGTTTACAATAAGTAACTATTTGGGAATCCAGGAAAAAATAAAAACAATAAAAACTCATTGTAATTAAGTCCAAATATATTTAATAATAGCGGTAGTTTATAATAAACATATATGTACTTAAGGTTTAAAATCACTAATACAGGGATTGTCAAATGGATCTTTTCAGGATAAGCTGTCTAAAGATCTAAGATAAAAGTATATTCCGTTGGTTCTCATCTTCAGGACTTTTAGCCTCAAAATTACATAGCATACTTTTAGATATCCTTAAAAGGATTTTAACAGAAGTCTTAAGAGTATTATAATCATTATTATGATTTTATTATGATTTTTCCAATTAAAATTTTATTCTATATGACGGTTTATAATATTTATAAATGTTATGTCTTGAGTTAATAGGGTTCTCTTATTAAAAATATAGTTTGTGAATTGTATAAGTGTTCCCTTATCTAATATTTTGTTATTGGATTATATAAGAAATATGTAAAATAAGAAGGAACTATTTAGGAATATTGGCTGTCTGACCTAATCCTAACCTAATCCTACAGGATATCAGCTGTTCGACCAGGATTTATCTAGAACAAATTCTCCTACCTGTCTTCGGCATAGTTTGTCCTCCTCCACCCCACTCCTACCAACCCCCTGCCCCACCCACATTCCAAGTTATTCCCTGAAACTCGTTGTAAAGCTCTCAAACACAATGGACCGACTGACTGCGACTCCTTTTTATAGCATCTTCAACATGTGGTTGGTGGTGATTCAGTTGCATCGGGAACGGCAATTCGCCAAGAACTCAATTCGGAGGATGCAGTCAGCTCTCCAGCCAGCTATCCTTATTGTATTGATTGATTTTCTTACTAAAGCACCACTAAATAAACCATATTAAACTGAATCTTTACTCGCTTTTCCAGCAGGATATAGGATACATATACCCAACGTGTTGAGCACGCCAGAAACCATAAACAAAAGCCAGCAACAGGAATTCAACAAGGAAGCTTCCTGAAGGAAAGGAAAAAAAAAACATTAAAATGGCAGCGGTACGAGGACATCAGTATTTCAGCCTGCGCTGGAATAACTATCAGAATACGATGACGTCAGTGTTCCAGCAGCTGCGCGAGGATCTGTCCTTTGTGGACGTAACCCTATCCTGCGAACACGGATCCCTGAAGGCGCACAAGGTGAGTATCTATAAAGTATTCAATCTTTTCATAATAAACTAACTTTGGTTTTTATTTTTAGGTTGTCTTGTCGGCCTGCTCGACGTATTTCCAAAAACTACTCCTCGAGAACCCATGCAAACATCCCACCATCATCCTGCCCGCCGACATCATCTTCACCGACCTGAAAACCATCATTGATTTTGTTTATCGTGGGGAAATCGACGTCACCGAATCGGAATTACAGGTGAGTCGATGTTAGGTGTTTATTTAGTAATAATTCTTAGTTGTAAAATGGGGAATATTGGTAAAAAGCAGTTCTCAATATGCAGAACAAATAATAAAGATTAATTTTAAATTTAACCACTGGATCCTCGGCCGTGATAGACTTGAACGACTTTTATAATGTAAATTTAAATAACCGGATATAGTAACATGCCTTACTGTGGCTTCACCTACCTGCTGATTTCGGCATTTTCTGTTAAGATGACGTACAACATGAAAACCAGAACCATTCTTATGAGGCGTGTTAATAAAGTATGTGCCTCTTAGGCTTATATCAAAAAAACATTTAACATATTGTAGAACAAAATAATAAATATAATAGGTAACTATATTTAGTAATCCTTAGTTATACGATGAGTAAAATCAACAAAGAACCGTTTTTGATGGTATAGGGATTTAAATATAATATAGTAGAACAACATTTAAAATAAAATAGGTACCTATACTATACCAAATTTGTATAATACAATACTTTATTTTATTTTAATTTCTGTAATAGGAGCAAACAGTATGTCCTATATTTAGAATATACAACAAAGTTAATAAACACTTCATAATTCTTCTCTGAAAACCTCCCATGTTTATGTTTTCCTTTTGCGGTAAAGATATCTTTTCATATCCGATTACTTGTACATACATTTATTAGGCCTTTCATAGAATATCGTCATTTATTAAGGGGCTGTATAAATAGTTTTTTTTATTTACCCGACTAAATTTTACAATCTTCACAAAAGAAAAGTACCACATGTGAATTGTTTCGTTTGATGGATAAGATAACATTGTGGTAAACTATTTTTAGGATCTTGCTTATCTAATTACTCGTAAATTTCTCTATTTGTCAAAAAAAACTGAAATAAAATAAAATATTTGGAACAAAATTATAATTTTATCAGACTTGACGCATATTGACATGTGCTTTAACCATTATTGCTTCTGATTTTATGTTTATTAGGACAGATTATATAATAATGTTTATCGTTGTTTGATAATCAAAGTAATGATAAACAAAAATATAGAGTTAGGTTTATTTAACAAGCTCCTTAATTATATGAATATAAGTTTTCTAATCCAGACCAAGAATATATTATTTGAAAGATAAAGTAGCCTATGGTTAAGCACTTAGGGTTAAATATGTAGGCTAGACTGATCTAGAATGTCAAATCGCTTAAATTCCACAGGGCATCGCTTATAAAATACACTGCACCCACAATTACCACCTCCTAATCGGTTTGCCAAACAAACAAAACATAGAGCTAGCCAAACCACAAAAGTGGTTCTTTTTTTAAATTGAACGCACAAATATAGAGGCGGAGCGGTACGAGTACAATTACTTTCAGGGTCGTTGTTATCTGGGCACAGCTCCCCCAGCTCTGAAAACCCCTTTTCCCCAACGTCACCCTTTTTCTCCCGTATTTATCTGAATGCCACCCACCGAAACCAGCCTGCTACACTTCAAACAATTGTTCTAGTATCGTCAATTTAAACTGCATTTGCAACCAAATGTTTTCTTTCTTTAATACAATTTTTTATATATCATTAAACTCTATCAAATAATACAAATGTAATAGGTTGTAACTTAAATTACAATTATTATTTAGATAGTATGATATTTAAGCACTTTATTCAGCAAACATTTTTAATGTATATATCATACAATATCATATTATATTTATTATATTTTCAAAAATATTCAGAACATTTTGGGCAATCTGTTTTCTTTAAATTCAGAAACAAAAACTTTAAAAGATGGGGTGAGTGCAATAACGCCCATTGAAATAAAGCCCTCTTTGTTTATAGACCGGGCTTTATTGCAAAATCGAAATGTACAAATGTATGTTATATTAAAACAGTGAAATCTTTCTTATTTAAATTTTGAGCGTTGATATTTTATAATTTCAAATATTATTGATTTTCAATAACTATATTTTTCTCCCGGTGCACCAACGTGCCTCGCATTGTTGCTTTTGCATTTGACGACAACGCCCCATTGTAATTGTCATTTGTGTGCTTCATTAATTCTTGTTGCCGACGATGTTGCTCCAGGGCACATAGACTCTCCACTATATTATCGAGAACTATAGAACTATACCACCGAGCATTTATCGGGGAAATGTCGCTGGTTTTCATATCGATATGGAATGCCCTCAGGTTAGTTGTTTTGTTTTGCCGCAACTGGTAATTAATATTGATTTGCATGCCTTGTGCACCGGAGCTTTACAAATATATCGATTTCTAGCCATAATAAGTCGTCAGGTCGAAAGGGCTGTGGGAAAATTAAATTAGGCTAATCAATTCTGAAACTAATTGGATCGGTGAGCGAAAGCATGTGATGTCCTGATGTCCTCATACGTTATTTATTCATTTAAAAAGCAATTAGTATTGATTGACCGATTTGGGAATGCAAATTGGTTTTAAAATTGGGTTAGGCTAAACTTCATTTCAGTGAAAAATATGGGAAATATATGCTTGATGTGAGATATCTTTTTCTTAAAGAAAAATTATAGTTTTAAAATAATATAAAGCTTTTCTAGTATTCGATTTGGAAATTTTATGTCTTGAAAAATGGCGATGTTGCGTACATCTGTAATTTCTAAAGAATTCGCTCATTGTTTTAAATAAAGCAAGATTACTTTTCAGAAAAGATCCTTTATGAAATACTGTAGAACCAAAGAATGCACTGGATTACTTATGCTCAATAATTCCATATTTATATTTATTTAAAATAAAATAAATAAAAATAAAGTCAAAATAAAGAAATGATTTACATCAGCTCATAATAATTTTGACATATGGTGTCCTTTAATTATGATTGCTTTTTTTTTGGACAACTTCCTTTTAAATACCATACATGTATCTATTAGCAACTATTGAAATCAAAATACAACTATTTGTGGAAAGAAAATAATTAAAAAAATTAATTATTTACAACCGTATTTGGTCTTTTTAGGCATATTTCGTTATTTTTCTAATAAATATATTCTATTCGCTTGTTACTTATTTTAGAAAAGTAAATGTAGAACGAATTAAAAACTGAAGAGTCTAGGAAGGAATAAAATTAATTAAATGTTCAAAATGTTAAAAACAAAAGTGTCATGTTAATTGCAACAACGGAAATCCGCTTCGCTGTTAAGTGTTAACATTAACTTATTTAAACAGCAACCACTTAAGCGGGGACAGCAACCGCATTACAGTGGCGGCCAGTGTGACGACCAGAGTTGTTTGCTTGAGCAAACAGGCGAGCGCTCAACTTGCTTCGCACTCAAGTCGCCGCCACTGCTGAGAAATAAAAAATTACTCAAGCTAAAAAGGGGGGCAGCGAAAATGAAAAAATAAGCTCAAACGGTGGTCCATTTCCACCCGCTCTCTCTCTCCCACTCACACACACACGCACACGTAAAAAGTCCTCCTTCCGCCGCGGCTTCTTCTTCTTGCGGCGACTGGCAGACGTCGACTTCCCATTCATGCTCTCTTTCCCCCCTCCACCACCCCCTTCTTCAACCCACTTTTTTTTACTTTTGTTGTTTTTGTCACAGACGTGCGCTCCATTTTTATATTTTCGCTGCAAAAGTTTTGCCGGCCATCTGTACAACCACCCAGCCCCAAACCGCCCCCCCCTTAACCTCCACAAGTTGCTGAATTTTTTTGCGCCTCTATTTTCTTTTACTTTTCTTTTTTTTCGGTGGGTACTTTTACAACTACAACTACAACTACAGCTTGTATCTCTTTCGTTTGTCGCCGTTGTTTCTGCACATGTTCTTGGAGTTTCCTCCTTCTCCTTCTCCATCTCCTTCTCCTTCACTTTATGTATTACGTTCTTTTTTTTCGCCCATTTTTATATTCGCCGCTACTTCTTGTTGTTATTGTATTTGCCCTTGTACTTTTGTATGTTTCAACCGCAACTTCTGTTTGACTGTGTGAGTGCTTGGGGCTGCTGAAGCTTTCGTCTTGGTGCGTATTCTCTATGTGTGTGTGTGTGTTTTTGGGGATATCATTTTTTTTGCTCTCGAGTTTCTTTCTCTGTGTGTGTGTGTGGTGCCCCCTTTTTTTTGGCGCGTCCATTTCGCCTTGAAAAATTTTTGTTGTATGGACTTCAGATTGGCAATGGGCGAGAAGGGAAAATCGTAGTGGAAATGGGGGGAAACCAAAACTTTTCGTACTTTTTGGTCAATCTGCAGTAGAGTGTTCCCAAACGGGGGAAAAAAAAGGAAAACAATTTTGTTTTGCCAAACTTACTCATTGTTGTTGCAACTGCCCAAGAATATGAGTTCTTGGGCAAACTTTTTTAACTACCAAAATGAATTACAAAGTCAGCTTAATTAGTTAAAATATTAATGGGACCTTTCTACAGGAAAGTACCAATGAAAATTAATTTTTAAAATTAAAAACTACCAAAGGATATGTTTCTTTAAACAAAAACCATAATTTAAATGCAATTAGCATGATAGTAAAAACTGTAATTGTATGTTGCATAAGTTTCAGGAAGTTGTAATTAGTTCACTCTCATTGTTTATAATACAATTATTACTTACAAGATATTATTCACGTGCTTTTTTTTACAATTCATTAAAATAAGGTTCTTTATAAATATATTAAAAGGCCTATTCTAACTTGTGGCTTTGAAATGGTTTAATTGTTTCTTGAATCACACTAAAATGCAGTAATGTCTATGTAATGTTTGTGGTTTTTATAATTGCTCTGCACAAACATTTAAAAACAATTAGTTTTGCGAATCCTTTGATGTGAATAAGGTTCACCCCAAAAAAAAAGGAATAAAGCCGCACCAAGAAACGGTTTCTTACGCTCCTATGCTGGCTATCTCGCTTGCACCCGCATGCCGGTTGACCCCAGCGTTGCCATACTTTTTTCTTGGTTTATTTTCCTCTCTTCTTTTTGGGGTTAAGCTCAGATTCGATTTTCGCTAAGCGTTAATTAATGCTGGCGCTGCTTTAATGCTTTTAGCAAACGTGGTCAGCCAGCACACGCACACATGCACAGATGATTTAGTGTTGCCAGTTGCCTTAGCCCCCCTTAACCCCCTTCAGATCCCCTTAACCCCCCACTGCCACCACTTTTAAATGCATGTGTCTGCCACGCCATGTGCTTTGGTTATATTTATTGCTATGTATTTTTTGTTTTGTTTTTTTTCTGCACTTTTTTTTTTGTTTTTTTTGCATGCCAACACTTGAGGGTCTTCCCAATGCGTCGTGCCTCTCACTCCCACACACTCGCCGCCTTCCCCACTTTTGGCCTCATTGCATGTGTGTTACACGGGAAAAATTTTAAAATGCTGATAATTCAATTTGAGTATAAATTTCATTAAAGAAAGTTTTCACAATGGGAAAAAGCTTAGAAGGCCGAGTTCAAAACCCACAGCTGCATTGCAATTTGTATATATTTTTATCATAAATGCAATGTACAATCAACATACAAAATATGGTTACTTAACTATGCAACACTTTAAAAAACGATTTAGCCTTTTTATTAAAAAAAGAAAAATTCATAGAAAAACATTTTTAAATGCGAATAGGGTGCATCTCAAATTCTGCACTTGTTTTACTCACAGTGTACCCCACTCCTTCTCCCTCGCTCCTTCACCTTTATCTTTAGCCAACTATGTATGTGAGCAGCTGAAACGGACACAAACACACGGACAACTACAAGACAGAGACGGGGAATAAGGTGGACATCAGTTAATGGGGTGGCCCAACACCACCCGCACTCGCATTCGCTTGGTCTCTCTCTCTCTCCCTTGCCCTCTCCCTCTGTCTGAACCACTTGGCTTGCATTTTTTCCGATTTTTTCTTTCGTTCTTTCTTGCAAACAGAATTACTTTTTTTTTATGCTGAGTGAAAGAGCGAGAGCGCGCTTGCAACTTTGAACTTTTCGAAGGAAACGGACCAAAAGAAAAAAAAAATCGAAATTGAGTGAAGCGCAAAGAAAAAATTTTTTTGCCCGCCTTTATGGGTGTGTGTGTCTGTGTGAGAGTGCCCCCAACAATGGCCGCTGCTCACACACACACACTCGCACACAAGGAGACTGCCCCATACACTTTCATTCTCAGTCCAAGTCGAAGCGTCAACCCCCCAGAGCTCCGTGACCCCCCTCGATGGCCCACCCCCTTTAGCGGACGACGCTGCGTCTGTCCAGTTCCATCAGGATTTTTTTCCCTGTTCAACTTTTCGTCCTGCTTCTTGTCTTCGGCGCTCTTCTTCTTACCCACACTCCTCTCGCTTTTGGCGCTCCTTGTTGTTGTTGTTGTTGTTGCTGCTTCGGCCAGAGAGCGCAATTTTTTCTGCGGCTCACGAAACGTGCATTGTTTTTGCCGCACAGTGGGATGAGATGAGAGATTTAGCAACTGATTTTGAAAATAATTATCAAAGACCTACAAATCCTTATAACTTGATAGGATACGATTTCTTTTTTTAAATGTTCAATATAAGATTTTATTACTTATAGAAGATTAAATATTAATTATAAGATATTATATTTTTGGGCTAGTCACAAACATAAAAATAAGATACGAAATATTTTCGAAATTGAAATAAAGTCAATTACAATACAATACAACTTAAATTTGTTGATAAGGTTTTGGTGGTTTGTTTTCGAAAACGAATGGATTGATCTTACATTCGTATGCAAATCTTAGGATAGCTTACGTAGAGAAAAGTGCAATTTTCCGACTTCGCGTTGGCTGGTTGGTTGACCGTGGTCTAGAAACGGCTTCCAATTAGGATGGCATTGGACCCAGTTCGAATTTCCAATTCATCCGCGCAATGTCCACACCCATTTTTACATCCATGTTGCTTGTTCTCGCTTATGGCTATTCTAAAATACAGCAACAACAACCATGTTCGTTCTTCCATCAATTGCTGAACAATTCTGTGTTTTTTATTCCTTGCTCATCTGTTCCCATTGTTTTTGCTACTGGTTTGGTGTTCTTGGGGAAGATGGGGCAGAAATGTCTACGCGACACCCAAACACAAATCATGGGGTCCTGAGAATGGGAATTCATCTCCAGTTAATGGGCGTCGCGAGTCGGAAGTCTGAGTTTGAGTCGGTTTCTATGTTGGGTGATTTTTTTTTTTGGGAGGTGGGGTCTTCTGTAGATGGTCAGTGTGCTGGTCATTTTTCTAAGGGTGTTATGTACTGTGGGCTGCGCTATGTATCATTTGCACTCATTCGGTTTTTTTATTTTTAATTTTTTCTTTTGCAACTTCCTCTTCCGTTTTTTTTCTCTTTCCCCAAACAAGTTGGTTAAGAAATGTGTTCTCCTCATCAATAATGCAAATTGTTTTCAGTGAGATTTTTTTTTTGCAACTGCAACCCGCAGTCACTGGTGTTACCACATGTGGGGTTCGAAAGTTCCAAGGTATACATATAAATATCTAAACTATTACTGCTCTTGTAAATTTGTAGGTTTGGGTTTATTTATATATTTCGGTAAAAAAAATAAAGCTGTATAAAGCAAACCATAAAATAATTGCAGTATATAATTTTAACAAGCAGAAAACAAAAGTTGGTGCACACTTAAAAAAGGCTTACATACATACGAATCTTATGTGATTTGGTATTTCGGTTGCTATACAAATCTACCATTCTTATAAAGTTTTGGTTATTCAGAAAAGAAATATTTTTGTGTTGTACCAAACATGGTTTCGCCCACTGTGCGCGTGATGTGCCGCAATTTTTTCCTCGGCTTTCTTGCCCGCAGTTTTTTTTGACGTTGTTGTTGTTGTCAGTTGGAGCTCAGGCTCAAAGTTTCTTCTCATTTTTTCCAGCCTGCTTGAGCACTTTTCTGAGCTTGTGTGTGTGTCTGTGTGAGCTTGCTTATGTTTTATTTTTTCGTCTTCTCTTATTTCTTTTTTTTTATGTGCAGAGCAGAGAGAGTTCTGCCGCCGCCGTCGCCGCTGTCGCTGCCTTTGCATTTTTTTCCGATTGCGACCGATTTTTTTTCGCCACCGCTATGTATGCTATATATATGTGTGTGTAAGTGTGGGTGGGTAGGTGTGCTGGTGTGTGTGTGTGTGCGAGTGCTTTTGCTCCTTTGCTTTTGCTTTTGCTAATCGCTGGCGTTGTCGTCGTCTTTTGGCATCATTCTTTTTATTTGTAATTCGGTTCATCATCATCGTTCATCGTTCTGTCGCACATGTATGTAATGCAAACGGCGAGGGAGCGAGCGAGAGAGGGATAGATATGAGTGAGATTTCTTGTGTTGTTGTTGCTGTTGCTGCTGCTGCTGATACTTTTTTTTTCTGTTTTATTTTGTATGTTTTTTTTTTTATATTCCTCCTCCTTCTACTTTTCTTCTGCTTCTTTCTTCTCTGCAGCGGCGGCAGCGGCGACGACGACGGTCAATTCTGCCAAGCGCTGCGTCGCCAGCCATCAGACAACATTTGTATTTGTAGTCGGTGGGTCTCGCGCTTTCGATCTCTCGGACAATCGGAATTAAAACGTTCTTGAAAACGCGATAACCGTTAAAACAGCGAGCAGAAAATATTCTTGAAAGAAACTCTCGAAAGAAAAGCCCAAGGCACAAAAACTGTTGAAAGCCTAAGGAAATCCTCTGAAAACATTTTATAACCAGTGCCAAATTAAAACCAAAAGTTAAAAAAAAAACTCACATGTGCTGAAAATAAAACTCGGTCTCTCTCTCAGTCTCTCCCCACCTGATCCCGTTAGTTTGTGTAGCCTGCTCTCGCGCGCGCTCTCCCGCTCTCTATCACACACACTCTCTCTCTCTTTGCAAACTGCCGGCTGCATAAAAAATTCACAAAAAAAAAGAAAGAAGAATACGAAAAAGCTTTACGTTTTGCATTACGTAGTAAAATGGCATTCCCTCACACAAACAAACAAACAAACCGAACAATGTGCGTTTTTCGCATTTATGATTATAAATTTTAATACAAGATTTTCTTTTGTGCCAATTCGCCTTTGGTCGCGTTATTCGCGTGTGTTTGCTCTCGCGCTCTATTTGTTTACTCCTCTCTCATTGATTTCAGTTTCCTTTTTAGCAAATAACAGCAAATAAAACAAGAAATAACAACAACAAATAGAAGCCACGTGTTGATAAACATTATTAAAAGGAGATATAACATCAAACACACACATAATCTCTCTACTTATCGCAACGATTGCGTCCTACATCAAAAAAAAATATACTACATTTTGTTGTCATTAATTAGTTAATTAATTAACACGATAATATCTATAATTTTCTTTAATTTGATTTTGGGTAAAACATACCGTTTTTTGTATGAAATTAATTCCGTCACGTCGTCTACTACAATTTGTCAACTTTAAAACTAAAGAAAATAAAAAAACGAAAAATCTACTAGGCTTGGTCCTCTGGAATAATTAAACACTCGTCCCTCCTGCGATCAAGGTAAAAAAAAATAAATTAACCTTTTCAATTTCGTTGCCTGCTTTTGGGCGTTTTTCGAGCCTCCTGTACTCGAATATTCGTATTTTTTAGGGCTAGGCCACATAAAATAATGCCATTAATTAGATATACCTAACCCCCCCCCAAGCTCACTAATACAACAATGCAAGAAAAACACACCCTCGCACGCACACACACACGCTCGCAATTAGCAACCATCAGAATAACGGCAAAACTGAGACATAACGAAACAAAAGCTTACAAAAACAAGAAATAAAGAAAGGAAAAAGAACTTTTGTAGAAATTTCGACGGATTCCTTCACTTGGGCGCACCCAAAATGGACTTTTGCGTGGCCCAACTTTATTTCCAAGGGTCCCCCCTTATCGATAACCAATTAGGACCCAAAGTTATTGGACCGACCAACGAATTCTTAGGAAATCTAATTATTCATTTTTGAAAATAAGTATACAATGTGCAAACAAATTGTTACCTTTGAAAATTTTTAGAAATGAGACATGTGCTGAATCGAAAAAAAAGAAAATTCCTTAGAAATGGAACCCAAAACATAGTACTTTATAATACACATAAAGGAAACATCCTTGTTTTATATTTTCTGTGAATTTGGTTCAATCACTACCAATATGCTGAATTCAGCGTTCTTAAATATTTTAAAACGGAAATCCATTTTGGAAATTGTAGTCTACCAGAATAGGTACTCAAAGTTTTGAGTTGGTGAGGCACCTAAAATTTTGATTTTAATATATATTTTTTCAGAAAAAATGAATTTTATTTTATAGTTAATATGTTGTAATATGATTAATATGACTATAAAATACTAAAATGTCTTTAGCATAAATATAATTGGGTTTGAAATTAATGTTTTTCATTCAATAAAAAGTTAAGATTATACTTTATAGAATAACTTTAGTCATTATAGATTTTTAAAAACGAGTTCTAAGAGATATTTTAAAATATGTATAATACCCATAAATTAGGATTTCATTCTGAAGGAATTTTATTTTTAAGAACCATTTTTTGAATAATCAAGCCACATTATATTGTAAAAAAGTGCCTTGTAATGGAAATAAGATCCCTAGGTCTAGTTTTCCTTTTGCCCTTCCCTGCTAAACTCTATGGCAATTAAACCTACTCCTAGAAAAGAAATCAAGGTTTTTGCAGCATAGCTTTGCTTTGATGTTGTTTGCTGAACTTGGAGTACACATTTCCACTCGAGTAAACTACTCGAAGTTGCCTCGATGAGCAGCTCCCATCGATTGCAGTCCGGCAAAAAGAAAAGTTCACACATCAAGCAGCGCCAAAGTTCACGAAGTGGTTAAAACAAAACTATGCACCTTTTCCATATAGTACATATACGTTTATAGAGAAGCCAATCACGGGGGGGAAATGATCGCGTAGAGTTTACGAACAAAAAACTCGATGACCATGATGGGAATGATATAAGAACAAAGGCCTTTGAAATGATAAAGTCCAAGCAAGTGCAAGTTGTGACGACTCTGGACGGAGTCGGATGAGCAGATGTGCACTCGGTGAAAAAAAAGAGAAGAGCCAGCAGGCCTGGCAAACTATGACCCCAAAAGCCCCTATCCAACCCAAGCCTACCCTATGTAACCCCCTATAACCCCCTATCCGTTCCCATCCCGTGACTTTCCATGGGGAAGGAATCGGTTGAGGGCCCAACCGTCGACGACGGCGACGATTATGCGCCGACTTGGCCTCACTTGTATACAATGGCGGGTTATCAAGTCCAAACAGCGGCCCAACCATTGAGCCCTGCTCCCTTCTCCTCTTTCCATGCACTGCAAATAAACTGGAAATACTATGGATATCTTCTGAAATACTTTTCATATCTAAAAAATCCCAATAATCCTAAAGAACTTTATAGGAACTCTGCGCCTTGAGTTACCACAGGTTCTTATAAGTTTTTAATATGAGCTTTATTCTTACCACTGTAAGAGTTCTATGTTTGTTAGTACAGATGTTATGGCCTTACAACTCTTAAACCTAAATATGAACTATCTTTCTTGTGTTTCTAAGGCCCTTTCTATATTAAATAAGAAAAATACTTGGTATTTATTAAAAAGTACTCAAATGTATGTTAATTTAGGTTTAATATAATATAATATAATGTATAATTAACCTTAAAAACCTCTCAAAACTTCCAAGCAACCAACTTTACTTAAAGTATTGGTATAGGATCTTCAAGTAAAAACCAGTAGATAGGTAATATGTTTTTACTCTTTTAACCATAACCATTAAACAGAATGTAAAAAGTAAAATAGGTTTCAATACTTAAATGTGTTAATACTTTAAAGAGAACAGACAAAAAATCAGATATACCTACCAAACTACATTATTATTGGATGTAGTATATCATAATAATGGGTCCTTTAGGTATGCAAAATTATGTTTTTTATGAAGAGAACCTCCTTGGTTACTATTTTATGGGAATTTGAAACTTTGGGGATACTAACCCAGATAATATATCTATTTTTCGAGTGTAAGTCGGGTCCGAGTCGTTGCTATGTGGGGTTTTGGGTGTGGGTGTTCTTTTTGGTGGAGAAGGGAGGAGGCTGAGACTCGCTCAAGCATCGCTTTTGCTTATCACAAGCCTATTGAGCGGCTATGGTTGTTGTTTCTGTAGTTGGATGGTGCTGGTGGTGCAGAAGAAGGGGATGTGAAGGGGTATATCAGGGGTAAAGAAGGGGGTGGTGTAAGGCGGCTTATTGCTCCCACCCCCCCCCCCCCCCCCCCTCCTTTTGCGCCACACTCACACAGTTACAGATAGCGTAATCAGGGTATTTCCGTGCTGTGATTTTTATATTTTTCAATTTGTTTCCTTTTTTTTGTTGTATTCTTTTTGCCCCATTCCATTCCCTTTTTTCCCATTTCTTGCTGGAAGTTTTTTACATTTTTTCCCTGCATTCATTTGATACTTCTTAATTTCTTTTTAGTGCTTAAATGAGTCTCTGGCAGAAAGAGAGGGTGGGTGTTAAAAAAAAAAAAAGAAAAGCGGGTGGAATGACGACCAACCCCCTCCGGTGGAAAAAGGCGAAAATTTACTCAAGAAAATCACAAGAAAATGTAAAACAACTGGACAGGCATTTTCATTTCATTGCTTTTCTTTTATTTGTTGCGTTCTCGGTTGGCATTGCTTTACCATTTTTTTTAAGGGTGCTACTTTTGTCTCCCTCACTGGGTTCTTTTCTCCATGGTTTTTCTGGATTTTTTGACCCCCACCCCCTTCCCGTTTTTTAATCGATCGGATTGGCGAGCGGCGGTGCGACAGCAAAAAACATCAATCACAGTCAGCGGCAGGTCAGCGAAAAAATATCCGAAAAAGATTCGCCACGGGGCAATCCTCGAGTTAAATCAGATAATAGAAATAAATAAACTTCTAAGCTGAAATTATGGCAAAGGCAAGCGGCTTAAAGTTTACCGCGAGGTCGCCTCCAGGTATGCTTTGCATTTTTTTCATTCTGCCTGTGGAAAATGTATCTTTTCTGGGAAAAACTGCGTGGAAAGTGGAGAAAACTTGGAATTTATTTGCCTAATAAAAGGAATTTTTATTTGGTTTGTGGAATATGGAAACAAAATGCTTTCAAATCTTTAGAGAAACATAAGCTTCAATGCATTTTAATGGGTTTCCTAAGTAAATATTTTATATCAGGTAAATGATCATTGTAATAAATATCTTTTTTTTATGAATTTGCATAGTTTTCTGGTCTATTAAATGGTATATATGGTGCATACTTACCAAATTCAAAGGTGTTTAATTTTATTGAGATCTAAAGTGTCCTTACGACAATCGGATGTTGCAAAAAACTTCATCTGATTTTCTTTGTTGACGATTTTGTCCTTTTTTTCTCTGTCGCCCCCTACAAACACCACAATACTATATGTATGTCCCATGCATTATACAATTCCCACTTGGAATTCAAATTTCAAACGATTGCATTTATTTTTTCTTTACCAAATAGACTGGGAATCACCACCACCACCAATCACTGCCCCCACTTTTTACCATTTTTTACCCTCACCTATAGCATTCATTGAACAATGCTATATAATTACATAAAAGTCAGCAGCTTGCTTGGCAGAAGTGAATACTAAAAAAAAAAACAAACCAGGAGAAGGAAACGGAAGAACTCTCCTTCTCATTGGTGCCAAATGGAAAAGTCCCTTGTTTTAATTTCTCTTTTTTTTTCAAATTTTTTTCGAAGCACACCCAAAAAAAGAAGGAAAGAAACAAAACAACAGAAAAATCCGCAAGGAGAAAAATATTCGCCCAGTGCCGCCCACACAACTACTAAATAACCGATTTTTTTTCGGGTACGTTTCCAACTCATCAGCAGTTTTTTCCTTTTTTTTTTTTTTGGCTTGGCTTCGGGTTTTTATTTCTCAACTAATCCCACACCTCGAACACCGAACCACCGGGCACACCCAGTGATTTCGTGATGCCTTTCCCTCCCCAAAAGTGTATATATTTCTTTTTTTTTTGACCGAACCTCTTCGTCTTCGTCCCTTTCTCGATAGAAGTATTTTTTTTTTTCATTCGCCACGTTTAAACTGGGCTTGTTGTTGTTGTTATTATACTGAAAAGATATAGATTACAATTGTTGTTGTCTCGGAATGGTATATATAGTTGTTTGTTTGTGTGGACCGACGGTCTAGGGGCATATAATATAAAGAAAAGGTTTAAGTTTTGCTGTTGTTTTTGTTTTTTTTTTTTGCCGACCGTCCCATTTTCGCCGTGCTTCATTGGACAAGCCTCCTTCCCAATTTGTACCATCCAGTTATATATGTAGAAGAGACCACCCCTTAAAAAATTCGGTCCCTTTATCGAGCGGGGTCCTTGAATCGAACAAAATCCTCAGCTTTGGGCATTCAATAAAATGTAAAACCAATAACTGATAGTTGAGGACAAAGATCTAAATTAATCCGGGGGAGTAATACATTTTTATAGTAATTTATAGGGTCGATT